TGTCGGAGCTACAGCTGTTAGTTGGATGTCGCGGATACAAAAGATTGTTGCTCTATCCACTACAGAGGCTGAGTATGTAGCAGTGACAGAAGCCAGTAAAGAATTGATATGACTTCAAGGATTATTAGCAGAGTTGGGTTTCACTCAGAAAGAGAGTGTCTTGCACAATGACAGTCAGAGTGCAATACATCTGGCAAAGAACTCAGTGTTTCACTCCAGAACTAAGCACATTGACATACGTTATCTTTTCATCAGATCTCTGCTTGAGGATGAAGTGTTGACATTGAAGAAGATTGTAGGAAGCAAGAACCCATCAGATATGCTAACGAAGGTGGTGACCATTGACAAACTGAAGTTGTGCTCAACTTCAGTTGGCCTGTTAGATTAACAGACCGGAGAAGACTACTGCAGTAATTGAGGTGTGAGGACATATTGAAATTAGTCCTCAAGTGGGAGATTGTTGAGTCAAAAGTTGGGAGGTGTGCCAACTTTCTTTGAAAACAGCAGAAAGAAAAAAAATAAGCAGCAGCCTTATGTTGAAAAAGATTAGTACACTTTTGTGGAAGAAATGGTGCAATTGGTTGTTGCACATGTGAAGGCCAAAAGTGGTTGCTGAACAATGATTCATTTCTCTTCTATAAATAGAGGAGCAATCTGATGAGCAAAGACACCACAACAAAAATACAGCAACATTTCAAGAGAAAAGAAAGAGAGAGAGAGCTAAAAATAATTAGTCTTTGTGTGTATTTTTGAGTTGTGAGTTGTGAGTGGTTTCGAGAGTGTTTTGTAAACACGAGTGTATTTTTTTTCCCAATAAAATATCTGCAGTAGTCCAGAGACGTAGGCAGTATTGGCCGAACTCCGTTATCAATTTGGTGTGTCCAATTTTTCTCTTTTTTTATTTCACTTTTATAGATCCGATTTTTCATGGAAATTTCAGCGTATTTTTCCCAACAACGACCTGCCCTCGACAGTGTTCTTAGTGGAGTCCCTCGAAAGACTACACATGTGGGGATGCAGGGTGAGCTCGGTTGAGAGCGTGCGGTTCAAATGTCTGCGTAAGCTCACCCTCATCTATGTCAAAGTTGATGACGGCACTTTGGGGACGATAACGTCGGGCTGCCCTTTGCTCAGGAGCCTGGTCATTGAAAGTTGTTTGGAGTTGCGAAACGTTATGCTGAGCGAGGTGGCATTGCCTGAGCTCAAGCACTTTGACTTGGAGAGTTACGAGTGGCGGGAAGAGTGTAGCATCGTAATCCATGCCCTGAATCTCCAGACGATTTGCATCAAGGGCCCATGGATTTGGTCTAACTGCCAAAGCACATTCTTGTTCTCTCGTCTCACGAGTGTGAATCTCAGTGATGTGATCATGCTGAGCGAGTTGTTTGACTTGTTATCGTTTGGCTGCCCGATTCTTGAGAGCTTGACCCTAGATAATTGCCTCGGTTTCGAGGAATTCCATCTTGCAAATGATTCGGTCAAGTACTTGCGCATCTCGACCGGAGACGATTGGCTTAAAGAAGTTAGGATTTGTGCACCGAACATTGTCAGTTTTGATTTCACTGCCAATATTCCCCAGGCGCCGCCGGACATATTCTCTTTCACGACCACTACTTCCAAGGAGTGGTATTCAAATGTAATCCTCTCTTCGGGTGAGAAACATCACGATTTCGACGCCAATTGGTGGTTCCTTAAGCTGAGACGAATGCTCAAGACACTAAGTGGGTCTCAAATTTCTTTGACCCTACAGATGGACGAGGACCCTCAGAACGTTCCCTGTAGTTCTGTTGTCAGTGACGAGCCGCCTGTGGTGGTGCGGGACTTGGATTTTACTACTTGTAAACGTCGCACGATGTCTTGGTACTCAGAGTTTACGAATTACTTGTTTCGTTTTTGTCGACCGAGTCACGTATATGGTTGTAGGCTCGTGAGCGAGTCGGCCAAGAACTACAGGCTCTCGAAGTTTCAGTTCAACATCTTGCTTGCAAAGATGAGCCTCAGGACCGAACCTTGCTTTTGGCAGCACGATTTGGAGCAAGTGTTTGTGGAAAGTTTCGACGGGCAACAATGGCAGCTCATGCAATGGACGAAGATGGGGAAGTTGCGAAAACGAAAGCAAGACCGGATGATTCGCCTTAGGTTGAAATGGAGATTTAAGAATGTTTCTAACGGACTCATGGTCGTATGATGGGGATATATGGGTTGAGTTGAAATGGAGAGGCATATATCTCTTCCTTTTCGTATGATGTCATATTAGGCTGCAAAAAAGTATTACAGTGTAACAGTACCGACTGTGCAGAGTGACGACGTTATGTTGGGCTGCAGTTCATCGACAGCAAAGTTAAAGGTAATGCTGACATATAAACCGCGATTATTAGCACCATATATGGCAAAACCCGTACAGCAATGAGGGATCAATTTTCCTAATGCAAGTACTATTTTGTTAGATTCTATGTGGTGGATAGAGCTTCATGCACCGTATCAATTTTTTCTCCATTCAAGCAGCCAAGTATTTCTATGCTGCATTTGTTTTTTGTTTTTTGTTTTTTTTTTTTCTATTGCTTTTATCTTCTCTCACTACAAGAAAATGATGAAATTTCAAGAAAAATATATTCCAATATAATTATTCTAATGCCAATTCCAACAGATATTTTCAATACTATTATTTCCGTTGGAAATTTTCAATAGATTCCAATGAAAATTTCAGCCAAAATATTCCGTTGGGATGAGTTTTCTATTGGAATTTCAGTTGGATTTTGACGATTAAAACGGTGAATTGTCCAACGGGTATGGAAATAAAATTCCAACAGATATTGCATATTCCAACGGAAATTCCTATGTAAAGAGTCGTTGGAATCATCAAATTCCATTTAAAATTTTAATGAAAAACACATTCCAACAGAATATTTCAGTTGGAATTTCTGTTGGAACTATTCCAACGGAAGCTATACCATTAGAATATCCGTTGAAATTTTCATTGGAATATATTATCATAGGATTTTCCGTTGAAATATAACAATTTTTTTGTAGTGTCTAAAGATATTCTACAAATAGCAAAGTTAATAAAAGTACATCTCACCACCAAATGTATTATGAATTGGTTGATCGTGCGGAAAGGCCGATCTTTATACGTTAGATTACACCGTACCAGTTAAAAAATATACTCTATAATTCTTAAGAACAAATGTAATGTGAAGCTTTTGTTATTTTAATTTTAATTCACTTGTACGATTTATCAGTCTTATAGTCTTATGCTATATGTAGTCCAATTTCTCTCAATCTCTATCGTTTTGATTCAACTTCATATTTGAATATTAGAAGCACTTGTCGTCCTACTTCCTGCTGACTCACGCGGTGACGGGAATAGCTGAGCTCTAGGTCAATTTAAGCGACAATGACCATGACATATTGATGTAGATGATGTATTTGAAAGGGAATTAAGAACACAAGAGCAAATTTCTTTTTTCAGAATAATAATACGATAATGATTTCAACTGTTCAGTGAGTGGGTACATATATGAAGAGCCCACTACTCAGCAACTTCCTATTTATTTAATTAACTGCTCCACTAATAAAAGTAACATAAATGAAAACCATAATAACTAATAAACTGATAACGGATAAAACCGGGAAAATAAATAGTCTAAACTCGAAGACGGTCATATTTCTGCAGGAACGCCAACGCGGCCTTGTCTCCATCATCCTCCTCGGATTGAGGAGGATTCGCCCTCGAATCCGAATGGGCCTCGTCTTCGTCTGAGTTGTCCCCCGCGAACGGCACCAAATGCTTGACGTTAAAAACGTCGGAAGTGCGAATATGCGATGGTAGTTTGAGACGGTAGGCAATGGGATTGATTTTTGCCACAACCTCAACCGGACCAATTTTCCGAGCAGACAATTTATTATACTCATGAGCAGAAAATCTATCCTTTGTCAAAATAGCCCACACAAAATCACCTACCTCGAACTCCACGTGGCGACGACGAGTCTCGTCCTGCTTCTTATAAGAAGCCGTAGCTGTCTCCAAATGGGCCCGGGCCGCCGCATGTGTCTGCTGCACATCGGCTATGAACTCCGACGCACGGCGATCCCCATTGTTGCTGGACGAGAACGTCACCAAGCCGGAAGGGCCACATGGGTGCAGGTCGTACACCACCTGAAAAGGAGCGAACCTGGTCGCGCGGCTAAGTGTCGAGTAATGTGCGAACTCCGCCTGACTCAGACGCTGGTCCCAACTGCGAAGGTTGTCGCCCACCAAACAACGAAGTAAGTTCCCCAATGAGCGATTCACCACCTCCGTTTGACCGTCCGTATGAGGATAATAAGCACTGCTGAAGTCCAGCCTAGTGTCCGCCATACGCCACAAACTCCTCCAAAAATAGCTCAAAAAGCGGGTATCGCGATCAGAGACAATCGCTGAAGGCAAACCATGAAGACGCTAGATCTCTCGAAAAAATAACTGGGCCACATGAACAACATCAGTCGTCCGCTTACACGGAATGAAGTGTTCCATTTTCGAAAAACGATCCACCACAACAAAAATCGAGTCAAATCCCCGCTGTGTCCGGGTCAAGCCTAACACGAAGTCCATACTGATAGCCTGCCATGGCTGCGAAGGGATAGGAAGGGGACGTTACAACCCGACATTTGTAGCAACACCCTTCGATATCTGGCATACACGACAGCGAGACATAAATCGCCCGACATCGCGGCGCAATGAAGGCCAAAAATAAGACCGACTCACCAAATCGACGGACCGATCGCGGCCCACGTGCCCGGTGCCATGGAGATCGGCAATAAGCTTCTGCCGCAGGCTGCAGTCCGGAACACAAAGACGAGTTCCCCGGAACAAAAATCCCTCGGTCATGGTGTAATCCTCCCATGCGCCGGCCCGCACACGGGCCAAAATAGGGCCAAAGAAAGAGTCAGTAGGATAGACATCACGCAGAACCTCAAAGCCAATGACCGACACGCGCATCTCAGACAGTAATAACACCCGACGGCTCAAAGCATCAGCAACCCTGTTGGAGGCGCCCGACCGGTGTCGAAGGACGAACGTGAACTGCTGAAGGAACGCCGTCCATGAAGCATGTCGTGCCGAAATATTATCCTGCGAGGCAAGATGGCGAAGGGCCTCGTGATCGGTATACAAAACAAACTCCCGATGGAAAAGATAGTGTCGCCAATGTCGCACAGCACGCACCACCGCATAAATTTCAACATCATACGTGCTATATCGCAAACGGGAGCCCGACAACTTCTCACTGAAGAAAGACACCGGACGTCCATCCTGGCTAAGGACAGCACCAATGCCCACCTTCGAGACGTCGCATGATAGCTCAAATGGTCTTGAGAAGTCTGGTAAAATGAGCACCGGAGCGTGTGTCAACTTGATCTTTATGAGAGCAAAGGCCTCCGCGGCAGCATCCGTCCAGGTAAAAGCTTTCCCCATTAGGCAACTCGTGATCGGAGCCATGATGGAACTAAAATGGGAAATGAACCGTCTACAGAATGAAGCCAAGCCATGAAAGCTTCGGGCCTTCGTGAAAGTAGTTGGCGTAGGCCAAGCACGAACGGCGTCCACTTTGCTGGCATCCACACGAATCCCATCTCCGGAGATCACAAAACCCAAAAATAGAACCGAGTCCACCATGAAAAGGCACTTCTTCATTGCTGCATAAAAGGACTCAGCCCGAAGAATAAGTAAAACCTCCCGAACGTGCTCCAAATGCTCCTCCACTGTGCGGCTATAAATAAGTATGTCGTCGAAATAAACGACGACACATCTGCCAATAAGGTCCCGAAGTGTCTGATTCATGATACGCATAAAAGTACTCGGAGCATTCGAAAGGCCGAAAGGCATAACCATCCACTCAAAAAGACCTTCCCTTATCTTGAAGCCTGTCTTCCACTCATCCCTCGGTCTAATGTGAATCTGATGATACCCACTACGGAGGTCCAACTTTGTAAAAACAGTGGCACCATGCAACTGATCAAGCAGTTCATCCAAACGAGGAATAGAAAAACGGTATCTGACTGTAATTTTGTTGATTGCCCGACTGTCCACACACATACGCCACGCTCCGTCTTTCTTTGGGATCAACAAAGTCGGTACAGCACATGGACTCAGACTCCGGCGCACAACACCACGCTGGAGGAGCTCCTCCACCTGACGTCGCAGCTCCTCGTGTTCTACCGGGCTCATCTGGTAGTGTGACCGGTTTGGCAAAGAAGCCCCCGGAATCAAATCTATCTGGTGTTGGATATCTCGTAGTGGCGGTAAACCCGAAGTAAGCTCGGACGGGAAAACATCAGGAAACTCAGAAAGCAGAGACTATATAGCCTCGGGCGGCTCCTGAACTCCAGACAGATCAGACCCGAACAACAAAAGAACAAATGGTGCTGAGCGCATCTCGCCCTCAAAGGCAGCCCGTGAAAGAAAAAGAACAGGTGAGGAACCAGCTAGTGGCGAAGGACTAGTCGGATAGGATGCAAAGTGATTCGCACACCAGCGAAGGTGAAGCTGTAAGTGTTACGTCGGCAGTCCAGAGTAGCAACCATATCGTACTGCCAAGGTCTGCCAAGTAACAAGTGGCAAGCATCCATGGGCACCACATCACACCATACCTGGTCCCGATATGTAACCCCAATCGCCAAAGAAATGAGAGCCCGACGATCAACAGTAATGGCACGGTCACGGTGGATCCACGCCAGTTTGTAAGGGTGAGGATGGGGCTCGCTCGAAAGCCCCAATTTTGTCAATGCATCCTGTGAAATAACATTTTCAGATGAACCAGGGTCAATAATAAAGTGGCATACCTTGTCACCAATGGTACAAGTCGACTCGAAAATCTGATGGCGCTCCACCGGCTCATCAACGGGTGAATGAGGTGTCAAACAAACCCATTGAACAACAAGTGTCGAGCCCACGTCCCCCGCTATGATGTTCTTCACTTAGCCCGGGCTCTACATAAAAAACAGGGGGACCATCATAATCCGCAGTCACCTCCTGTTCTCCACCATCCTCCAAAAATAAACCACGTGATGTTGAACCCCGTGGACAGGCCGACTGACGATGGCCAAGCTCGCCACAACCAAAACAACGTAGCCCGCCACTCGGACGTTGCCCGCTCGCCGCCGGAGGCGGTCCACCCATGCCCGACTGCCGCTAGCTCTCGGTCCCTGTCAATGGAAAACGGCTGGGTGCCGTCGTTTGACCCGTACCCCCCGACGATGTAAATCGGCCCGATTGCTGTGGCCCACCAGTCATGGGTCCTGCTCGTGGGAAAGAAGTAAATTGCGTGCTCGATTTTCAGGCTAATTGCTGCTCCACAAGATGGGCTCTTTGGTGAGCATCAGAAACAGTCTCTGGCCAGACAAGATTTAACATGTCTTGAATGGCTACTCGCAACCCACTGACATAATGGGAAATCAATTGGGACTTTGTTTCACGCACCTCAACACGAGTGAGAAGCTGATAGAACTCGTGTGTGTAGTCATCAACCGATCGAGTACCCTGTCTCAAATTGTGCAGCTGCTGATAAACGACATTATCATAGTTAAAGGGCAAAAACTCATCCTCCACATACTTACGAAATTTAGCCCAAGAAACATGTGGCGACTTCCCTTGACGATGCCGCATGCTCGTGATATGCATCCACCAAGTCGCCGCTCGCCCACGAAAATGAGTAGCAACAAACGCAACACGCCTATCCTCCGGGACCGCTTTAAAAGCCAATATCGGCTCCACAGCGGCCCACCAATCAACAAAATCGCTCGGCTCCACACTGCCATGAAACTCCGAAATTTCTACACGAAATCCCGCCTCCCAACGCGAGTCCTCGCCACCATCTATCGGGCGCCGAACGACACGCTGGTACGTTTCTAGGCCCGCATTCCAACCGCCCTCAAAAGCACGACGGTGCCGGTCCTGTCCCGCCTCTGCGCGCTCGTCCTCCCCACGCCGCTGCTGCTGCCACGGTCCCTCTGTATCTTCATCGTCGGCGTACAGCACACGGTCGCGGAGACGCATGCCGTCCTCCTCCCACATGAAAAAAATTTGCCGCCGCGTCTGCTTGCTCAGGAACCCTCGCACGCGGTCGCCAGCCGCCATCGCGCGCCTCTCGATTCCCACCGTTCTGAAACCCGAATCCACCGTCAACCCTGGCCCGCGGATAAAATCCTTCAGCGAACGGATTTTCGATGGTCACGGTCTCGTCAGAATCCTCACCGGTCGGCAGAGGTGGTGATCGTCGGCGGGGCGCCCCGCCAATTCCTCGACCGCCACGACCTCCCTGTTGTCCCACGCGATTGCCCCGGTCAGCCCCATCGCGGTTTCGATGCATCTCGTCCATCATTGTACGCATTGCCAGTCGCATTTCCTCGAACCCCGTTGATAGGTCCGTAAATCGTTCGTCAAATCCGTCAAAACACTTATCAATCCTCTGAAATCGTTCATCAACGGAATTGTCGACTACGGCTTTGTCCTTCTTCGGCGGCATCGTGGATCATCGGCTGGTCTGCTGATACCAACTGATGTAGAGGATGTATTCGAAAGGGAAAACAGAACGCAAGAACAGATTTCTGTTTTCTTTTTTGAATAATAATAATACCATGAATATCAACTGTTCAGGGAGTGGGTACATATATGAAGATCCCACTACTCATCAACTTCATAATTATTTAATTAACTGCTCCATTAATAAAAATAACATAAATGAAAACCATAATAAATAATAAACTGATAGCTGATAAAACCGGAAAATAAATAGTCTAAGCCCGAAGACGGTCATATTTCTGCAGAAACGCCAAAGCGGCCTCGTCTCCATCAACAAGTCTATGAATTATTTTTGTACAGTATTGTGGCCATGCTTTTTTGTTTCTCGAAACGATAGAAATTTTATAGACGAAAAATACATTTTACATACTAGAAAGCAACTAAACAGCCGAATAAGTCAGCTCCTCAGCTGAATCTAGTTAGGTGGACAAACTTCATAGGCAACAAGCCCGAGGCAACTTAGAACCAGCCAAACACTGAACACTAAAACTAAAAACTAAAAACAACAAACCCAAGTTCTCAACAGGAGAATAACACATCTCCCAACGGGAAAATACAACAACACCCAAAAGGGAGAACAAACACAGGACAACTCACAAAAAAACAAAGAAACAATAACACACAACAAGAAAAACACACTCATACATAACTAGAAAGAATACATCCCCTTTCCACAACAGTCAACCACACCAAACTTCCCACGGCGACGCCAACGGACATCCAATCAAGTAGAAAGTGCTACAGCCCAAGAGCCTGAACCAAAAACTGCCAAACAAAATGCCTAACTGGGTCGGCCGCTAAAGGACCCAACTCATGCTCAGACAAATACCCGAGACCCGCGCCCAAAGACTCGCACCACAAATCA